GTTTATAAACTATGACTTTTATAAATGTATGAATCTTATGATGAAAAACTGACTTTGAAAAATAAATCTGTTCTTTTTATCTTATAAACGGCAAACAAATAAAACAAAAATATTGGTGCTAAGTTTTGACCATACCTGAGCTTTCTAGGTTTCGTTCTTGGAGCAGATCAGGATCTGATCAGGAAGTAATGATCCGTGTCGTTCCTCCCTCCAGGCTATCCGGTGCTCAGGAATAAAATAGAGTTTTCTTCAGAGGGAAAAGCAGCCAACAAGGAAGACTGGAACAAATTCCTCATGGCTACGAAGGTGAGAGCAGACTCCAAAAAAAAAAACTAAAATACTTTATAGTTTAACCCAATCTGCTCCTGTTGTAACAGAAGATAAATGTGATGTCATCAATGTGATGTCATCAATGTGATGTCATCAATGTGCGACGGTAAAACAGCAAGCTGGTCAGACATGCTTAGATACGATATGTCAATTAGAAATAATCCATATGTACCGTATATATAATTAATAAAATGACCAAAAATAGAGATTTAGCTGCAGGTTTTTACCACTAGATGTCACTAAATTCTTCATTGAGCTCCTTTAACCAGCTTTTATTAGTTAAAGATTTGATTAAAAATGTTTTATTCCRTTACCCCAGTGTTTGTGTGTTTGTATGTATTATTTGTTTGTRGTGTTGCTGTTCTCCTGCAGACCACTCACAGTCCGGAGTGTCAGGACGTCCTGCAGTTCATCAGTCAGTGGTGCGGGGGTCTCCCAGCCTCTGGTTTCTCCTTCCACTGACGGGAACGTCTTCGAGCTTCGGTTCTGTAACGTTTTTATTCAACGACACGCTTCCGTCTTCATCAGCTGACATGTTTTACAACATCTGTAAGAGTTTAGTTTCTCTCACAGCACTTTGATTATTACAACGCTTTTAATCAAAATCAGTGATTTTAGCGAAAGAAAGCCCAAAATGTTATGAGTTAAGTTAAAAATCTATGAAAGCTGTGAGCAAATTTTGGGGAGGTTCTATAAAAATCACAGGTTAATGTTGGGTTTGGAGCTTTTCTCACAGGAAACAGAGGAATTAAAAAAAAKCTGTTTCCTTTCTCCATCACCGTTCATCGCTGATGGTTTCTGAACTTTTTAACCTTGTAAAACTTTGCTGACCTTCCTGTTCTTAGACTGAACCTTCACTGATATTCCTGTGAATGTTTCTAAAGRCAGTAATGCCTTCACTCTGTCTAAAATGTATTTTATTTATTAAAGCTCCAATAAAAAAATAGTTTTCAAACATTTTTTCTGCCATTTTCTTCACCATATTAGTGTTTCTGTCAGTGATAATCTGATTTATTAAAGTAATTATTGAAGTAATTGTTGGTTTACTTTGAAAAAAGGACAATAAAATTCAGTTTATATATAAAACATGACTGAATGTTTGCCTACAACTGATTAACTGTTGGACTCATTCATGACAGCTGCAGATAATTAACTTTAATAAACACAAAAAATAGATTTATCTCTGGCAGTTTTATAGATATTAATTTAAAATGTTACGTGGCTGTAGCTGTGAGTGATTTCTTTTTAGTTTTCCACATGAAGCACAATTAACTGACCCAAAATATGA